GTAAAAAACGTATAAAAGAGCATTTGTTTCTAATCGTAGAAAATGAGTCAAATTGAGTCAGTCCAAGAGAGCTTGACTCCAGTGATCAATGAAGATAAGAAAAGCATTCAAGAGGAAGAACGTGAAAAGATTCTAAATGTCGAAAACGAACAGAAAAACACTAAAGGTAAGTGCAAGTTAAACACAGTTGATCTAAAATAGTTTCTCTGTAAAATAGTTTCATATGCATCAAGTCGGAGGGTAACAATCAGGTTTTTATAATAAGTGTTTTATTGTAAACGGCTAAATAGTGTATATACAAATGTAAATCACTACATAATCTTTTCCATGTAGAAATGATGGAAGAAAAGAAGCTCAAAGAAGGAATGGAGGTAAAACCTAAAAAAATCCCAATTGGAGGAATTCAAATGCCTGGATTTTTCACCAGGAGCAAGTCAAAAGAACAGTGCAAGGTATCAAGTCTCAAAGGCGGCACATGCAACAGGGTAAATTAGTAACATTTATAGGAAGATGATCAAATTGAAGGAACTGAGCTGATTGAACAAGACAACGAGAAGAAGGAAGAATCGGCTCCAGTTTAGACCAGAATTAAATTGCCCAATCTATTTAAGAAAAATAGGGAAACTGCAGAAGGTTTGTAGAGGCATGTTAAAGCTGGGACCAATAAAGCGTAACGAACTATTACGCCTAATCGGTAACATTTTAAAGGGCGTTTTACAGTCGGCAATTTTATTGCCCGTAACATTCTTGCGGCAATAATTTTAATATTCCGCTTTACAGTGTGCAATGTTAAACCTCACATTTAGACAAATCGATGAAGCGTACCAACTATTCACTATAGGTGAAAAATTCAAAGTTTGTTTGTTTTTGTTTGAGGTTACAATTATATTGCCAACGGAATTATTGTGATTAACATACATACACGTTGGGGTTTATTTCGATAAAAAACGAAAATAATCAAATATGCCAATGATGGTTATTTATATTACTATGAGTGAACAGTTGGCAGCATAAAAAGAACCAGAAAAGTCACTAAAATTGCGGCTAGCTGCAAGACATTTTAGGTTTGGAACTATAGCCGGCGAGTGCAATAAGTGTTTCCAGCAACTCGAGAACCGATCAAATGCGCAAACGTAGAACGAAATATTGCTTGTAAGAATGTTGCGGGCAATAAAGTTTCCGACTGTAAAACGCCCTTAAAACGAAAACCAGTTTTTTTTTTCGGTAAATATGAAAATAAAATCTGATTTTGTCTTACAGAAATGTATAAATGAGAAAATAGCACAATGTGGAGCTTAATAGAAAATCATGTAGGCAAGAAGTAAGAAATGATGAAATAATGATTTTCGTGACAAATAAAGGCGAATATCGATCCTCGTTTTATATC